TATCTCTTGACGTTACACTAAGAAAATATATTTCAGATGTTCAGCATCAGAATCACGCCAGTACCCAAATTAAGTGTTAGAGAAATATGTACCATCACCTTTTTTTTAAAAGTTAGACCATTATCTGGCCAAAAACTGAAACTGACTGTGGCTAATTAATGACAAAGGTACTTTAAAATAATATCAGTGTCACATTACAGTTAAACCAGTAGATGTGTTTCGACTTTTAAGGTTTCCAAGTAAGTAAGGCACAGGCTTTTGGACGTGACAGCCAAAGTGATTCAAAAGTATGAATGATTTTTATTAACCAGACATGGCTTCATTGCTTCATTTGCTAGCACTTGAAGACACACAACACATTTTAGTCTTCCATTGTTATTATTTGTCCATTGTGCTAATTAGCTGAGTTTGAGAGCCAGTGATGTATTTATTGCCATATTAATGTGAAAATGGGCAGCTGAAATTACATGTTATGTCTGGTGTGCTATGATTATTAGTTGGATACCCTCACCAGGACCTTTATTAGGCACTAGTTCTGGGTTAGACCTTCTTTTGACTTAAAAACTGTCTTAATTATTAATTCTGGCATGGGTTCCAGAAATATTCCTTTGAGATTTTGCTCCATAATGACATATCCATGACACAAATATCCTGATCCATCACATCCAAATCGGTTGACTGTGGAGGCCGTTTGAGTACAGTGAGCTCGTTGTTATGTTCAAGAAACCAGTTTGAGGTGATTTGAGCCGTGACGCGACACAGCAAGCTACTTGAGGTCACAAGGGGATGGGCATGGTCATCAACAGTACTCAAGCTGGGTGTGACTGTTTAACCTCTTAAGCCCCCGTATCAGGGGGAGTTGGGGCTTAAGAGGTTAAGCTCAGTTTGTAGTAGAAGACTCAAAGAGTGCCAAGAAGATACCCTTCACACCAGCAGCAACCTGAACTGTTACAGCTGTTAAAAGGCAGGGCAGATTGTTTTAGCCAAAAGCTGACCCTACCATCTAAATTAGTGTCTCTCAAACGGTTGTGCCCGGACCCCCAGGGGTCCTCAAGACATAGATTGGGGGTCTGCAAAAACATGTTGTCACCTGGCACTTAGTGGCATGTAAATACATATCATCATCCAAAGTTGTGCTAATTAGCACAATGGACAAATATTTAAGTCCATCCACTTTATCCATTTATGAAAATGCACAACCAGCTAAAATTAGAAAGTATGACAACAGTTACATTATTGAGCACCTTACTGAGAATGACAATGGAAAAACAAAATGTGTTGTGTGTCTTCAAGTGTTAGCATATGAAAGCAAGCCAAGCTAAAGTGGCATGTCATCACAAAGTACCCAGCATTTTATCAGCTGAGGACTATAATTGGGTCCTTGAAAAAATCCCACCCTAAGGGGTCCCTGCCCCCCAAAAGAACCCCTGAGATACATGATGCAATATCTAAATCAGTACTTTTGATTTAGTGGGAACTCCTTGTATATGAGGTGATTCCTATTATATTTTCATGTCATATCTGCTGCAAATATTACTAAGAATGGTTCTGCATTAGTGAATTAATGTTATGATTTTCAGTATTTGTTCATTTGTAACTTAGTCTGTAATTAAGATATAGCTATATCTTACTATACGATATTATACTATATCTTAATTATGCTGAATAAAATAATAAAAGTATAAATCATAGTATAATTATAATGTTGCATAATTAGACAATTATAAGCTTGTGACTGTCAGGAGCCCGTGAGCATTGATATTCATCTCCAGTTTCCATGCTCCTCCAGCAGAGGATCTCTCAGTGTCTTGGCACCTGAGTTCACTATGACTCACTGCTTTAAATACAGGTGACAGCCTGCAGCTCCCCTTTGATCACATTAAACCTGCAGCTCCCCTTTGATCACATTAAACCTGAACATGTTGCCATTCTCCAGCTTCTAATTCAGCCACCAATCAGAGCTGATGAGTCGCCTGCAGTTACACTTTCTGCTAGTACCATATTCTTGCTTGCAATAGAATTTCTTCTTCTTTCCCCCCTTTACCTTATTTATAGCTGTGGCAGATGAAGCTGAAGTCGTTGAAAGATAACGCACAAAAGGTAAACGAGCTACTTATACCTCAAGGTGAACCTCATAAAGTTACATAATCCTTTAAATCCGTTACATTAGTACTAACTATGAATCCTATGGGTACTTCAATCAGCCTTGCTGTTCTGCTGTCTTCATAATCACCCTCTTGATCTGCTAGTGGTACGGCCTCCTCAGAGTGAACACGCCCTAAGTCCAAATTAATTGGGTGCTTGGGCAACCAAGCCTTCACTGAACGCTGCTGATTGGAGCGTCACACAGTCTCACGGCCTGGATGCTGCGAGCTGCATCAAGTTAATCAAAGAAACACTGGAAGTGTGGTGATTTTCCTACAAAATAAAATATAGCAGCTATAACATTATAGTTAGTTGTAGCGTTTCGATATAGGTGCTGATATAAATTACACTGAACGTATAATTTAGGTAATTTTCATTGAGTTATTTTATGCAAAGACAATATTAGTGCAGTTACTGGTTAGTTATAACTCAAGAGTTTTTTGTGAATCAGTGACAAAAATAAATAAATAAAAAAAATATTATTATTGAAAAATAATAAAGAAAGAATTACCTCAAATTATTGTCTTCCATCATATGATTTTTCTGTATCTAAAAATTACTAGATACAATGAAATTTTTATTTATTTGATAACATTTGATATAAAGCTATAAAACATGAGCTGCTCTAAAATATATTCTAACACATTTTTAACATCAATAAGTTGTAGAAAACTCCCTTTCTTTCTTTCTTTCTTTCTTTCTTTCTTTATTGGGCTTGATGTTAGGTAGCAGCTGATCAATTATATACAAATCGTGATTAAAATCTACTCTATATTCTCATTACTTTACTAGAAGTTGCATTGTTCTCAACAACTGTTTTATTTTGAAAGTCACAATAAGAAGTCTTGCTTGCATGTCATTGCTGACTTCACGGTGATGATGCTGCCCCTGATGGTCCCGGACCGGCCAGGAAGGTATCCATCTGGTGTGTGTGTATATCTCCTTGGGAAGTGCCATCCACGGATTGTGTTGAATTGTGTTTCCGTGAGAAAGTATCCAGTGATCCGAGTGGAGCAGCAGCAGGCCCATAGAGGAGGTATGTGGTCCACGTCGTCAGAATTATTAGGTCTGCTAGGCTGCAGTGACTGTGTCTGGGGTGCAAATCCTCTCCTGGAGCACGGAGACTTTGTTTCCATGCCCCTTGGCTACACGTCTGGTCCCTACCTGGTGTTTCTCCCATCCTCCCCGTGATCTATACACACCCTACAAGTGCAGCTGCATCCATTCACCGTGCATGAGGGCAGTGTGATGATAATGTGAGGCCACTTAGATAGCAGACTGGTGCTCATTGTGGAAGAGGAGAGGAGGGCGGACTGAGAGTTAGGAGGACGCTTTTCTAGGTCGGTAATGAACGCTGTGAAGCCGATCATGCCGGATGGAGACCGGTTTCTTTGTGTCAAGTCGCACAAGTGTCATCATTTCACTGTGTTCACAGCTAATCAGCAAAATTGCCATATTTATTGGAATAAACATTGTGGCTGGCGCCAATTTAAAAGCACGTTTGGTTTTTACGAGGGATTTATTACATTTATTTGTATGGACGAACAAGAAAAATATCAAATAAAGAGCATTTGAGCAATGTAGCCACGAAAGAAGCCTTGCGTTATAAGTTTGTAATTACCTTTATTTTATATTAAAGATTTAGTGTATCCTTATTTATCGTGCAGTGATTTCATGCAACTCAAGCTCCTATGTTTAATAATAACTAACCGCCGACAACTTCCGTACTGGTAACTGAGCTATAGGCCTCCTGATATAGTAATGACTTTATTATGCCTGTAGCTGTCCCCTCAGGCTTTAGGAGGGTAAAAAAGCACCTGTGAGTATATCAATAGATGTACACGTAATAATGGGATATCCATCACATTATCAGCTATCAGATGTGGATGTGTAAGGAGTCCATGCCTTGCAGTAAAGTTGCCGCACCCTCATACGCACGCACCCTGCATGCACACATGTACGCAAGCACGCAAGGATGGAAACACACTCACACACTACATCACACCATTAATACAGTGGTGTGGAGGGAAGGGAGGGTGTAGGTCTTAGAGACTGCTTCTTTGTCACCGATGAGCCGTTAATTACTGACAGTAATTATATCTGTGCTACCCAACAGCTGATTTAAAGAAAATATTGTGTGTGTTTATTTGTGACTTTTATGAGTTAAAACGTGTTTAGGACAGCAGATAAGAGTAGAGGGGTCTTTAGGACCAAGAGGCCTCGGACAGCCTTACTCAATAAAATTGTCTTTGGAGTAATAACTTGTTACTTACTATAAATTAATTTAATTTTACATGAGAAATGCCTAAAACCTTTGGAATTTTTCATACTGCCTGGAATAAAACTGTGGATTGGTCCAAAAATAACCTGGTTTAAACATGTAAAACTGGAGTTAGCTGTTAAAATGTGAGGGCTTACTACACCATCCAATTCACATCTGTGTGTATTTTTATCACAGCATTCACACCTGTGAGCAGTTAAAATCTAAAGGTGACTATTTCAGATAATAACATGATTTTAGATCATGTAAGTGGAAAATGTGTACGTACCAACCATCAGTTTAGGAACTGGAGTAGAGGCAATCAAAACCATTCTCAGTTTAAGCTAAACATATTTTTACATGTTTAGCGTAGATTCTTGTAATATAACAATACAGTGAGTGTAAGCAGTGTTATGCTCCTTCGGTCCTTTCAAAAATAATAGTCCCATTGACCCTTGCTTGCCCTATTGTGACCCTTAACTGGACGCAGCTTCTTTCTATTTATTATGACGCCTCTGCACACTGAGCTGTCGGGTCTCAGGCAGTGACTGACACAGCCTACTCAGCCTTGTAGCTGATGTCAGTCACAGTGTGACAGACTGGTCCCAGAGCAGCATTACTGATCCTTCTCTCTCCTCTGTCATCTTATTCTACTGTAAAAATGAGGTACTGTAAACAATGTTTTTTTCATAGAAATACTGCAGATTCCTTTTTTCAGGTGGTTATAACTTTTCTTCTGTTTTGATGTACACTGTGGTTGCTTTGAATCAGATTTCCACCCTTTAGTATCTACAAAAAGCAAAAAGTATTCAGCTGTATGTTTCCCTCTTCCTCGCAGATCAATAGCCATGTCTTCCAGCTCAGCGATGGTGCGGATCCTGATAAAGGGTGGCAAAGTGGTGAATGATGACTGTACCCAGGAGGCTGACGTTTACATCGAGAACGGCATCATCCAGCAGGTGGGGAAGGAGCTGATGATCCCAGGTGGGGCTAAAGTGATTGACGCCTCAGGGAAACTGGTGCTTCCTGGGGGCATCGACACTAGTGTCCACCTGGAGGAGAGCTTCATGAATGCCACCACAGTAGATGACTTCTACAGCGGTACCAAGGTAACAGTCTTTTCATATTGTCCCAAATTTAGAGAAGCAAAAGAGCAAACTTCATGTTTTGTCACCTTTGTCACAATAGGAAAGATTAAGATTCAGATACCATTGAATTATTGAAAAAAAGGCTTTCTACTGATGTTCATTTTAGTCACAATGTCAGTAATGCATCATTATTCTGTTTTGATGCTTCTTAATATTTGGAGATCAAATATTTAGGTTATTTTAGGCAGGAATACTTTTGCTGTCAAAGTTAGAACTAAGAAGTCAGACCTCAGACACAAATTTATAGGTCACTCCTCCTTCCCTTAAGAGAGCCAGAAGTAATATATCTATTACTTTGCAAAGAAGCAGAGCACAGAACTTACGCCAAACACTGGCACATAAAATAGTAACAAAACATTTAATTTTAAGATCTAGCTGCAAGCAGAAAAAGCAGACAAACCAGCGGTACTAACATTAACAATAGCTGTTACTAAGGATATAAGAAGCATTTAGAAAAATAAATGTCACTGGGTTGCATCCAGAGTTTATTTCTCCAAAATTAGACAAAGGTGTTTTGGCAATTTTGCTTTTGGCATGGGTGAATGTTGGAGGCTGATACGACCGGGATACCCCACTCTGCTTCAGGGCACCGTGATGACTCATCACTCTGTAGTACTTTCAGCTTTCTAAGAGGTGACGGATGCTGGGAGCGAACAGGCCGGTAGATGCTGGTGACAGACACAATTCTTTGCTGCTTTCCATCTCCGCCAGTCATTCCTCCTCACTGTCTCTCTCCTGGCCCCTCCCTGCCTGCTCCAGTATAAGTCCAGAGAAAAATGCAGATCAGTATCTGTTTCCATGGATACCGGGGTGCTGCTGCGAAGATTGCCGCAAAGCCTTTTCACTCACGCTATTGTGCTTGGAGACAATGGTTCCCAGACCCACGCCCCCCTAACACCCGTACTCCGTGCACGCCACTCGAGTCTCTAGGGTCAGCTGACAGATGCTCAGTGAAGCATGCGCTTATACACAAAACACTTGTTTGGGTTATTAAGATTTTCCTTAACTTGTGTCTGAAAGATCTAAATCTGCTCATAGGAGGTTAAAAAGTAAGAAGTGCTGATGCTGTAAAGAAATGATATAGTTTGTAGGTTTTAAAAAAAACATGATTACACTGTAAGGAGCACTCAATCCTGTGCTTTAACAGCTGAAGGATTTATATTTCCATCAGCAAGAATGTAAAGATAACCATTAGCATTAATGGTAATTGAAGCTATCACTTTTATGCTTGGAGTTGGGGCTGTGCTGATTAATAGGTTAAAGTTGTTTTAGTCGTTATAGGCTTCATAAATCAATCCATTTTGTGCTATTTAATCATTTTTAAAGAAGCAAATGATTAAGTTTAAGGATTTAATTTAAGGTCATTACATATAGTCTCAAATTATTTAAGTCTTAAATTGCAGCTGATGATTATAGCTGAATAACAGCTTTTAAACTGAAACATCTCAGTGAAAAAAAATCAACTATTATAGCAAATGAAAGAATGTCAGAGCAGGAAATACACCACATGTTTTTTGCAAATTATTTGACAGAATTAAATTAGACATTATAAGTGACTTCAGAGCTACTTTTTGTTGTTTTTACAGGCTGCTTTGGCTGGTGGCACCACCATGGTGATCGGACATGTTCTCCCTGAGAGGAACGAATCTTTGCTGGAAGCCTACGAGACGTGCCGCAACTCAGCCGACTCCAAGGCCTGCTGTGATTACGCTCTGCACATTGGAGTTACTTGGTGGGGACCCAAGGTACTGGAACACTGTCGCTCTATGTCATTGTAATACGTTTCGCCTCCACGAACACTTCTTCTAAAGTAAAAACTCAACTTTGTATTTTGACTTAAATTATAAGTTATATATGACCAGTGTGTATAAAGTATTGCAATGGGTTTCTAAGCCCCCCAATTGCAATATTAAGAACAGTTAGCAGCATTTTTCATATTTCCTTCCTTTTCTCACAAAGTACCAGAATCTATTCGAAATACCTGGAATATGTTTTAAAATCCTTGTTAAATTTGACTACCTTTGTAATAATGAACTTGATGCTCTTTAGCTGCTAATATGTCAAAGTACAAATATATGCAAGAGACTTGTTATTTTTAAAGAGGACCTGTTATGCTCATTTCCAGCTTCTTATTTTAATTCTAGTGTTCTGCTATGATAGCTTTGAATTTACAGCTCAGATTAATCCTTATTCATATTTTGCTTGCTCATGAACATCTGAGTTCATCTTTTGTCACAAACCAGCTGTTTTCGCTCCCTTACCCCACCCTTTAAGACGGCTTCTTTTGATTTGGTTGCCCCTTTACAACCAGTGGGTGGGGCTGTTGTGCTCATAGCTAGCTGTGTGCCTGAGATGATAATGCTGACCTCATTCTTTGAATCTTTAGCCATGTTTAATATGAGCCTCCACCACTACAGGACAGTCAAGGTAAAAAGAAAGAGCATCATTTGCCAATTCTAAGGTTTTACACATCAGCACAAAAAAACAAAACAAAACAAAACAAACCCCATAAAAACAAAATCAGGTCCTTAGCAGGCGTTAAAATGAGGTAACTGTAATCTACAATATATTACACATTACACTGTGTCATTATTTATTATATCATTGGTATTATATTTGACAATAATAAGGAAAAGCATAACAGATCCTCTTTAAAATAACTATTTTTGCATTCTCCTTAAATCAGGCTGGATTTCATAACTGACTTAAATTAATAAGTAAGAAATGACCCATATTTGCTTTATGACGTCATAGTTGTTAAAAACAATACTGGAACAAACTATTTAATTCAAAAATACCAAACTTTTTTTGTAAAGATAAGAAATCCACTTTGATCCCACCTGCTTACAAGAATAAATACTGTAACGCAAATAACAGCATTAAACACTCAAATTAACTACTTCAGTTTAACCTTTTTTTTCTGGATAAGGATATTTTGGAGATTGAGGCCACGTTTGAGCTTGTGTCGTTGTTCCCCTTGTACAGGTTCGAGCTGAGATGGAGAAGCTGGTAAGAGACAAAGGAGTGAACTCCTTTCAGATGTTCATGGCTTATAAGGACATGTTCATGCTGCGGGACAGTGAACTCTTCCAGGTCCTGCAGCACTGTAAGGACATTGGAGCCATAGCGAGGGTCCACGCTGAGAATGGGGAACTTGTGTCAGAGGTAAGGGATTTACTGGGAATTACAGTGTGTGTACGCAAATGAAAATATTGCTAAAGTTATTTAATTGCATTTCCTATATATATATTTTTTAAAAAAAACATTATTACTTTTTTGTCAGGGTGCCAAGGAGGCATTGGATCTTGGCATTAGTGGCCCAGAAGGGATTGAAATCAGCAGGCCTGAAGAGGTATAAACATTTCTAATTATAACTCTTAATGATATCCAAACTCTGGTCAAGGATATGAGATATTTTGTCTATGATTGAATAAATTCCTTGATTTGATTTACTGTGATTTCCTTGCAGTTGGAAGCAGAGGCAACCCACAGAGCGATTACCATCGCCAACAGGGTGAGTAGGATGTCAGAAAAAATGCAGTATAGAAATCAAAATAAGGTCATTATAAACTCTAGGGATGTTAAACATAAAACATTTTAATCACCAATCTTAGCACTGCTAACACTGCAATTTAACTCCAATGATTAATCTGCACAGAGGTGTTTTTGTCGGACAAAGATTGCCTTTGTGCACAACCACAGTTGATTTTAAACCAACAATCAGGATGTGATTAAAGGGCAGACTTTAGGCTTTAATTTAAGGGCTCTAACAAAACTATTACATTAGCTGTTTAGCAACCATTTTCATACACAGTGCCTCATTTTCAGAGGCTGAAATCTAACTGGATGGTTGACTGACAAACAGTTTAAGTAGGGATTTTACCCTATAATCTAAAACACCTTAAGACTACAGTTATTATCATTTGGTAATATATAAATAAAACTGAAATGAATTGAATTGAATTGAATTTGAATTGAATCAGCGAGACAGCAACACTCTGGAAGTGGTCAAATCAACAATCTGGCACTTTCTTGGAAATAATGAACGCGCGGGCCAGCTCAGGAACACCTAAAAGCCTGAAATACCACAAAAGACAGCTAAAGTAGATGATTGCACTGTTCTTTTCTTGGTTAAGAAAACAACAACCCTTCAAAACATCTAGCCAAGTCAACAACACTCTGGAGGAGGTAGGCGTATCATTGCCAAAGTCTGCAATCAAGAGACGCCTTTATGAATATAAATACACAGAGGCTTTAAAACAGGGTGCAAACCACTGCTTACACCCAGGAACAGGAAGGTCAGATTAGACTTTGCCATAAAACATCTCAAAGAGCCTGTACAGCTCTAAAAAACACAGATTTAGCAGATAAAACTCTAAATTAACTTGTACTAGAATGATGTAAGCGAAAAGTATGTAGAAATTATTTTCATCCATGTAGTTTGTCCAATTACTGTACTTTTGAGACTTTCTTTTGAGGATCTATGAATAAAAATAACTGTACTTCTTAAACAGTTAATGTAGTGCTTTTGTATTAAAAAGTCTGTACAAGCACTTGTGGACCTAACTATATAACCTTTTTGTTTTCTGTTAGGCCCACTGCCCAATTTATCTTGTGAATGTCTCCAGTATGTCTGCTGGAGATGTAGTGGCTACAGCCAAGATGCAAGGTGAGGCTCTTTATCTTTTATATTTAGTGTTACTATCTTTGAAGCAAGTGATGTGCATTAAGGGAATGTATTTCTTTGATGAGATTTGGTCTACTGTTACTTAAATGTCTGCTTCGATGATCCTAAAGTCAACTCAAAATCAGTGTTTGCTTGTCTTTTAAGCTCCTTGCACTATTATTCTAGCTAATATATGTCCTTATTGAAATGTCTGACCACAGGTAAGGTGGTCCA